CCCCCCCCCCCCACTCCACAAGGTGAATCCAGACTGCTTGATCCTTCAAGGCCCTTCTTAAGTCATCTGTTCTATGAAGGCCCTTCATGACCATGCCCCCCATCCTCCAGTGCAGTATTCTAGTTCCTTCTGGGCTGTGATAACATGCCCAAGATGGTGCCCTGCACCGTTCCCCAGCCAGCTCCTTGGATGCCCGTGAATCTCCTCCATGCAGGCATTATCCGTGGGGTTTTTTTTTTTTTGCCTTTAAAGCACGATTGAGTTCAGGGCTTTCTGCTGATGAATAGTAGATCAGTTTGGGAGCTTACAACCAGCTGCCCCAATGCCCACTGTGTACCCCACCTACCACCCCACTCCTAGACTCCCAGGCGCTTCGTCTGGACCTGCCTGCTCCACTGGCCATAGGACTCGTAGGCTGTGGAGCCCAAGCATCAGTTCCAATCCTGGCTTCACCACTTTGCCGTGAGACACCCTGGGTGTGTATTTTAGTTTGTACGTCTATGGAACGGACACTTTAAGACTCTGATTGCAATGAGAGCGAATTAGATAATCCACTGAAGGTCTTGGCATTGGTGCCTGGCACATACAAGTATTTTATTTTCACCTCCCCCAGACACTCCTTCGGTGGGTGATAAGTTGCCCAGGGGCAGGAACTTGTTTGTCCCTCCATCTCACACTCAGCCCACGCAATGCCTGCTGGGCGTGGGTGCCGGCAAATGAGAAATGGATGATGACAATGGTGACACTATTCTACATCAGGTTCTTCTAATTGAAAGGCTCACAAGCTACCAGTTGACACCCTAAGGCTAGCTTTGGATGTAAATGGCCTCCCTTGGAGCTGGCTGAAGGTGGGCGGTCTATTTTCTTTTTTTCAGTTTGTTCCCAGAGAGTCTGTAGGCCCGTTTTGAGCTAGTGACTTCTAGATTTCAGAATCTTTCAGTGCTTTTCTCTGTTGACTTTCACCCTGTTAGACCTCTAGAGCACAAGTAACTTTTGAGAAGAAAGTATCTAATCTGGTAACAAGGCCAACAACAGGCTGCATTGCTCTGCATACATAGCTCCTTAGAAATTCGCTTCCTGGGAGACCTTCCACAGAGAAGTTTCTGGATAATAAAACGGAGTCACCGAAGTACTGCAGGGTTTCATTGCTTCCTGCACCTCGTTGGAACTTAGCCAAGCGTGTAGTGACATTTCCTGTCTTGTTAAGCCGAATATATCGAACTGTCACTCACCTTGGCCCCATGTTGACCAAGTGCTTTCGTACCAGGAGCGTCTAGAACCTTGCTGGCGCCACAGAAGACACAAGTCATTGACCCCACTTCACAGACAGGAAGCTCGGGGTCCTGGAGCCCAGATCCACTGACAGGAAATACTGGGACAGCTCCAGCTCTCTCTGGCACAGACTCGGAGTTCATTGCCCTCCTCTGTTGCTGCCTCTTGTGCAATGCCACAGCTAGCAGCTGTGCTTGGGTGCAATGCCGCTGATGGAAGTCAAGGCTCCTATGGGGCTCTTGCCCTATGCCTGGTCTCTGTTTGCCTGTAGTCAGCTGGGCAGCCTCCCTTAGACCTTCCTTGGGTCTTCTCATTAGCTAAGCACACACAGTTGGTACTTCAGTTGGATTTCATTACCAGGCACGCATCCCAGGCCCAACTTTGTATCTGAAGTCTCGTCACCTACTGCTTCAAAAGATGTGAGTCCTTTGCAGCTCCGGCCTGGGCATGGTTTGGTCAGATTTCCATGGAGACAGACCCTCATTAGAAAGACTTGTACAGCTGTTGAAATGATGATTGGCCAGGACCAGCCTGGTCAGGGCCCAGCTTCTCGGCATCCATGAGTCATACCAAAGAAGGCCAAGCAGCTAGGCCACCAGGTGGGCTCTCGCAGGGCTCTTGTGGTAGGACTGACATTTTGAAGTCTTCCTGGGAAAGTTCACCACTGAGTGAAAACCTGTCTGGGCTTTTTGGACCTATCAAGTTCTCAAAGCTCAGCCGAGCTATTGTTCCCTCTCCAAGAGCCTTCATCACAGTCAGATGGAGCCTGGTGTCTCCTGGGGCTTGGAGAGAGCATTTGGACCAAAAGAAAGCTGTGTGCTGGTCATGGTACCACTCCATGGAGGGACATGCACCCACATTCTCCTCCACTGCCCTGTGGAAGTGTCTCTTATAGGCTTTCCTTCTCATTACATACATCTCTGAGTGATTTTGGTTTTAGTTCTAAATATCTTTGTCATTTTCCTCATTCCAGCTGCTCCTCACCACAAGTCCATGCTAGCTGACATCTGTGGGACTGTAAGGAATTGGTTCATTCTCTCTGTGCTTCTGTTACCATCTGTCTAGCCAGCCAGCGAGCCAGCTATCCTTTGTTTGTTTTTGAAATGGGATTTCTCTGTGTAGCTTTGGTGCCTGTCCTGGAACTAGCTATTGTAGACCAGGCTGGCCTTGAACTCACAGAGATCCATCTGCGTCCCAAATGCTGGGATTAAAGGTGTGAGCCACCATTGCCCAGCTCACCTTTTTTTTTTTTTCTTGAGGCAGGATCACATGAATCCCAGGCTGACTTCAAACTTTCCATGTAGCCAGGGATGACCTTAAACTTCTGATCCTCCTGTCTCTACCTCCTGAGTGCTGGGATTATGGGCATAGGCTACCATGACTGGATCGAACCCAGGACTTTGTGGTGCTAGGCAAGCACGCTGACATCTGAGCTGCATCCCCGGTCCAGCCCATCTCTTAAGTAGAGATAGAAACTCTGAAGCTGACGTGAGGGTCATGTGACATAATACCTGTGTCACTGTCAAGGTTTGACTTTATTCACAGAGCTTTGGTTCTCATGTGCCAGCCGTAGAAACCAAGCTTTAGAAGGGGCGAGTTTGCAACTCTGGTACCAGGGGTCAAAGCAGAAATACTGCAGATGGCAGGGGAGGCTGATAAATTCGGCTTTCTGAACTACTCCATGATGGGTACCATATATGCCATTTAAACCTGGGAAAACTGGATGCTGACTTCTCCAAAGAGTGAAAGTATTGCCAGAGAGAGAAAGACACCATTAGTGTTCACCCCTTTCAAACGATTGAGCCATTCTTACGTGTTACATCTGGGTCAAAGTGCCAGGACGGATGTCCTATTCAAACATGATTGGTTCTGCCCTGTGCTAAAGGCATCCAAAGGCCTGGGCTATATCGGTGGTTTGTACCTAAATGGTCTCTTTCTTTACTTCCTCCCACAAAAGGAGCTGAACTGGCAGATGAAGGTGGAACCCCGGTACCCTAGACCTCCTGGTCTCTTCGGAAATGAAGGTCATTGCTATATTCCTTGTCTTCATCTTCTGCTGTAAGTAGAAGCCCTCTGAGCGAGTGCCGGGAGTCCATCCTTCTGACGATGTCATGGGGGTAGCATTGAGTGAAGGAAGGGTACAAGGTACTAAGGAGAGAACCAGCCTCCCCCCAAAGTTCTCCCACCTCTGGTTCTGCTGTCTGGTGGGCCTGGTCACAGTGTTGGGTCCTCACAGGACATCTCAGAATCCAGGGACATTGACCTCAGAGTGGAAAAACGATGTTTGGCTGTGGTGTGAGCACTCCCGGTCTTGGGAGGTTTTCTTCCTTCCCAGTCTGGTTGCCTTTAGTTGAAGCTATGTGTAGTGTTGTACAAAACGGTAGGCGTGATCCCAGCCAGCTGGAGTAATTCTTCCGGGGAAGGCATCCTGATGATGGCTAGTGGAATACTTGGTCAAACCAAGTCACTGCTGCCAAGCTTTAGATTGCATACCTCTCTCAAGGACTTCCTGGGAACCATCTGAGGTCTGTTAAAATAAAACAAAAAGTTAGCTGTTTGTCCCAAACCAGCTTCCTGCTGTTTCTAGCCCTGTCACAGTAACTCTGGGGTTCGGTGAGTCAGACATATCAAAGTTAGGTCTCTCCCTCTTTCCCCAAGTTGCTAGTGAGCTTTGCAGTTTTCAAAATCACACCAATGTGTAATCTCGGCACTTGGGAAGTGGAGGCAGGAGGATTGAGAAATCAGGTCAAGATGTCCAGCTCAGCACTGAGGCGGGAGGGAGCTGAGAAACATCCCCCATCCCCCGCGCTGTTTTCCTTCTTTGAGTTCATGCGTTTGCTGTATTTTTATCACAAACCAAATATATGTTTATAATTTTAAAAAATCAAATGCTGGGCTGGGGACATAGCTCAGCGGGAAGAGTACTTGCTTACCATATACAAAAACCTGGATTCAATCCCCAACACTGAATAAGGCCAGGAGGGACGGCCCAAGCCTATAATCAGCTGTGGAGGTGGGAGAGTTGGAAGTTTGAGGTCATCCTTGACTACACGTGAGTTTGAGGCCAGCTTGGGCCAGAGAAGATTATGTTTAGCCACAAAGCAAAGCCATAAAATACAGAGTAGCCAAGGTACAGCCTTCTCGGGGGCCAGCACTTTCCTACACCTAGATACAACTGCTCTGGAATCTGTGGAGGACAAGCCTACATACACACACACACACACACACACACACACAGAGAGAGAGAGAGAGAGAGAGAGAGAGAGAGAGAGAGAGAGAGAGAGAGAGAGAGAGAGAATGAATCTAGGAACAAAATACTACAGGTTTCTTCACCGTTCTGTGGCTGTAAAGAGACACCATAACTATGGCAGCTCTTATAAAGGGAAGCATTCAATCGGGGGCTGGTTTACAGTTTCAGAGGCTTAGTCCATTCTCATCAGGGCAGGGAGCATGGCAGCAGGCAGGCAAGTGTGGTGCTGGGGAAGCAGTCGAGAGCTACAGCCTGATCTGTAGGCAGAGAGTGACTAGGCCTGGCTTGGGCTTTTGAAACCTCAAAGTTCACCCCCAGTGGCACACTCCCTCCAACAAGGCCACACCTCCTAATCCTTCCCTAAGAGTTCTACTCCCCGGTGACCAAACCTTCAAATATGTGAGCCTTGGGGCTGTCCTTATTCAAGCCACCACTACCATGTGCTTATTAAAAAGGCACATGGAAGTATTCCAAATGAATATGGCCTCGTTCTTACCTGTCTGCCTCAGTCTCACTGCCTGGAGTTCACCTATTAAAAGTGATACATTGCTAAGACGAGTACTTTGATGACCATCCTCCTAGGGGTGGACATGTGGTACTTTGATGGCATCCTCCTGGGGGTGGACGTGTGGTACTTTCCAGTACTCTGATGTTACAGACCACACTGCCAGCAAGCATCCTTGTATAAGCATCTCTCTGTGTGTCTGTAAGCACTTTGTAGAAGTACAAAGCCTATTGATGCATGCCTGTGATTCCAGCACATTGAAGACAGGGAAAGATCTCTCTAGGTTCAAGGCCAGCCTTATCTCTTTAGGACCTTCCAGTCCAGCCAGGGTTATGTAGTAAGAGAAGACCCTGTCTATTAAAAATAATAAAAATTGATGAGTCTGTGTGTGTGTGCGCGCCATTTAACAGACTGGATGAAGGGTGTTTTTCTGATTTCTTACCCCTGAATGTTGCTTCTCCTGAGAGACTATTAATGCCTATTGCTTCCTAGAGGAGGGACTGCCTGGAACCTTGGCTTTGAGCTTTCCCAGTTAGTGCTGATCAGACCTGGATGATGGTAGAGGGACGGCTGGGGAACCTGGCCTCATCCAGGTTAGCAAGAAACTTGCTGGGTGATGGAGTAACACTGATCCTGTTTTCTTTCCTGTGAAGGAGGCTGGCACCTTGTATGAGGGCCCTGGACTGCCCACCTCACTGCAGGCACTCCAGCAAGGCCTGTGGGCCCTCCAGCAAGGCCTGTGGGCCCTCAGGCTCCTCTCCTTTCTTGTTTTCTCCTTGGCAGGGACGACCTCCACCCTCAGCAGCTTCTGGCAGTTCCAGAGGATGGTCAGACACATCACAGGGCGCAGTGCCTTCTTCTCCTATTATGGATATGGCTGCTACTGTGGGCTAGGGGGCAGAGGGATCCCCGTGAATGCTACAGACAGGTGATGCACAAGCCCTTGACGAGTCCCATACTGCATTTGTGCTGACGTCTAGGCTTACAGTGAGGAGAGAGGGCTTAGAAATCCTGACAAAACAATTCCAAAGCAGCGTGAGATTGAAAGGGGCTTGTAGGGTGAATCTTGGAGAAGCCGGAACTGAGCCGCCTTTCCCTGGTTTGCCTGTGAAGCTGCCAAGGGCCCTGTATGCCTAAGGTCCTGGATATGGCTTATGTGCTGAGCATCTTGAGACAGGGGCTTAGCTCCTAACTCGTGTTGCATCTAACTTACTACATAGAACAGGTTGAGCTTGAACTCTGGATCCTCCTGCCTCAGCCTCCCAAGTGTTCCGATTCTAGTGATGTACCACCATGTGCAGATCAAACCCAGAACCCTATCCCTGCGGGACAGTCATACCACCGAGACACTCCAGGCCCATCCTGGTGTTCTCAATCAAAGGCCCTAACGTTACACCCTCGGTCCAGCCCTAGATCTGGAAGCCCTTTCCCATTAGCCTGGCAAAGGTGTTCTCCATTCGCATGCTCCCGTTTCTTAGGATTATGGGCCCAGCAAGACTGCCCTGCCAGCTTCCAGACCTAATTCCATATTTTAGGAGAGAAGCCAAGTGGCCCAGTTCAGGAAAGTTATCCATCTGGAGGCAGTCACACGGTACCAAGTTGGTTTCCAGGACTGTTCGAAGGATTTGAGGGTGGGTGGTGTTAGCTTCTTTAAAATAAATGGATATTACTGTAATCTGGAGAGGGTACAGTGGGGAGACTAGATAGTTGTGTCTTTTCCCATTTGAAGAAATAATAAAGGAAATGTCCCTGGGCATGTCCTTAGAGCAGGGCCTAATATACGGGACTTGAGCCCCAGGCTTGGCTGTGGAGACATGGAAGGCCACTGACACTTGTGAGATCCACCGTCTGTGCCCAATACTGAACAGGTGGTCTACACGTTTGGGCCTCAGCCCTCAGCCCTCACCCCTTACCATGAATACAGGAGGCAGCATCCCCGCTGTAACCCACCTGACTGCTGAGGACAGAGAGAATCCCAGACTAAGAGTTTCTCAGCCGCCACCCGCAGGCGAAGCAGCAGAGCCTGGCCTGGAACACAGATCACCCATTTCTAAATCCACCCCCTGTCATTGTCCACCTGTACCTTGCCTCCTGGAGTCCAAAGTAGATTCAAAGCTGCACATCATGAGCCGAGGGCCACAAAGGGCCAAGAGCCCAGGTACACATGAGAACGTCCGGAAAAGGACAGGTGTATCAGTAACACCACCCGCCCCCCCAGCTCCCGAGTCTGCAGGTCCAGGGAAGGCGAGGGAAACTGGAGGTCTCTTTCAGCTCTCGCCCAGTGTTCTCCTGCTGACTCCTCAGGGACACCCCCACACCGACACAGTCCCCCACCTTCTTCTCCCCACCCACCAGGTGCTGCTGGGCTCACGACTGCTGCTACCACAAGCTGAAGGAGCTGGCTGCCAGCCCATCTTGAATGGCTACCAGTCCAGCATTGTCAATGGGACTGTGGCTTGTGAGTAGCCTTCTCTGGAGGGAGGCGATGGGACCTGAGCTGGTCCTTAGCAGCCACCTCCTCCTTAGCCCACTGCTCGTTTTAGGGGATGAGACATTCCCAAGCGCTTTGAGACCAAGAAACGGGGCCGAGTCCGAGAGTCAGAGCTTCTTGGAGAGAGTCCTTGCTTGGTTTTGCCTGGTCTCTTCTGCCTGCCCCTAAATCGCAGCTCCCCTAGGAACCTAGGGCCCATCCTACTCTGTGGACCACTAAAGAGCTGTTGGCTGTGGAGCCCATTGACTTTGCATTTTCCCGAGGTAGCTCTGGCTGTTGAGAGCGTTCCTTTATTCTTTTTTTCTTTTCCGTTTTTCAGGCGTGTGTGGTTTGTGTGTGTGTTATGTTTTTGTACAGAGATAGGTACACTTGTAGGTGGGCACACACGGGCGGAGGCTTGAAGTTGATGTTAGGGATTGTCCTCTGTCACTGTCTTGTCACTGAGGCAGTGTGTCTCATTCAAACCCGCAGCTGGCTGATGTAGCAAGCGTACTGTGGGGATCCCGTCTCTGCCTCCAAGGCCTAGGATCTTAGGCAGGTCACCAGACCACCCAGCAATTGGTTTCTGGGTATCTGAACTCTGGCCTCCCAAGTGCTTTACCTACTGAATTATCACTCCAGTCCCGACAGCCTCTAGTTCTTTTTTTCTCATGTTAGCAAGGTGTTTGGCTGTCTGTCCGCTGAGCAAATATTCACCAAGGTCAACTATCTGTTGTGCGCTATGACCAATGTGGATGGGGCAGAGAAGTAACCAGGGATGGGACACTGCACGGGCAGGGCCTGAGTGGGGAAGCACACAGAATGGTCTCTCGAAAGGAGTATGTCCTGGAGCTAAGGGTGTGGGCATGTGTAGGGCAAGTCCCCCCTGAAGACTTGAAGGTGGTGGGCACGAGCCTTTGTCCAGCCTTGTAATTCCAGCCCAGTAGGTGGTTTCTTGCTCCTCACATGCCATAGCTCAACTCCTGCCAGGCCCTAGGGCATAGCAAGCCACTTCCTCCGGGGTATATGCACAGCTATGTTTCTCGGCATCCTTCTGCCTCCCCCAAGGTCAGGGAACTGCCAGCTGTCCCAGACTCATCTCCCGGGACAGAGGACTTAGGACTCCACACTGGGAATCCTGGTACCCAGCACCCCACCCAGGACTGGAGGCTAGCATTCAGAAAGCCCCTGGGTCAGCATTGTTTTCTCCCTGCCCCCCACTGTGAGTCTGGAAGTGTGGTGGGCTGGGGGCTCAGACCCCCACAATAGAAGATTGCTTTCAGTTCAGTCTGCTGTGGGAAGGTCTAATTGAGGTGGAGTCAGTTCTGTGTGGCCAGCCTGACATAGTGGATCTCAGGCACAGCTATGACCACGCTTGTCTCCCTGTTTGGTGGCACTTGTCTTTCGTGCCCTAGCATTCAGCACATCTGTCAAGGGCAAAGTGTCCTTTCTGGCCCCTGGATCTGGGACCCTGCTTGGTCCTATAACCAAAGCGGAGGTCTTAAGTGCAGGCTTCGTCCTCTGAGGTCCAGAGCAGGTCTACTGTGAAGACTCCTGCATCTGCCTGGAGGAAGCCTGGGCTCGACCTCCTGGGTGACAAGAGCTTGCTGGGTCAGCATCAGCAACAGCAGATCTGGGCTCAGCAGAGACTTTGCAAGCACTGGGGATCCCAGCCATGTCCAGGCTGGTCTGTAGCACCTGGAACCATGAGCCTTGTACAGGAAGCTGTGTCATCATGGTACGTCGGCTGTCATGGTGCTTCGATGTGGCTGGTTACATAGCTCTGCCTAGCCGATGGTGCTGGTCTTTATTCACCAGTACTCCAGGTTCTCAGCACTTGGTGGTCGCTTGTCCTCATCCCCTCCCCAATGAGTGCGAGGGGAGATGACAGGGTTTGTGTACTGATAGAGAGCACACAGGTGAAGAGAAGAGAGTGCACAGACACTTGGCTTAGTAGGTCACCCAGCATTTGTGTGTTGAGCCCATACTGTGTTGTCACCACAGGCAGTGATGAGCAGCAGGGATTTAAAGAAACACACAGAGACTCAAATCTAAGCATTTTGAATTCCAGGGTTAGAGCGGGGTGTAGCCGCTTCTACCAATGCCAGAGGCTAAAACCTGGATTGAGAAAGCAGAGCACATGAAAACAGATGGGTCAGTAGAGGGCCAGGGCCCCTGAGGTCTTCCTGGTTCAACCCGCATAGTCGTCTTTCTTCCCCCAACCTGCCCAGGTACAGAAAGTAGACATCTGGGGAGGGGGGCAGGGAGCGGGAACCTTTGGCCTAGGAACATCAGAGATGGGCTCGGGCATGGGACTGGTGTGGCTAGGCTAAGCCAATGGCACGTCGCCTTCTGGAAGGTCCTGTCCTATCAGAGACTGGTTCTAACCTGGGATAATGTACAGGTGATGTGTGAGTCCCAGGCAGTGTTGTGCCCAGAATCAAAGCGGGGGCTGCAAAAGGATATCACTGGTGCTTGCAGGAAACATCGCTCTCTTGGGAGGGCAGCCATTCGTTTGCATTGGGGACTGTCTTTATGCCAGGCCTGTGATGAGGGTGGAGGAGTAGGAATTCTACTCCAAGGACGTGTCAGACTGGGGAGGGAGGGCACAAGGACCCAATGGCCTGGGAGGTGCTGAGATGGGTGTGTGCTTGGGGAGCAGTGGCCACTGTCTGGGAAGAAGGCTCCTTCGAGGAACTCAGGGGCAGGTGTGTGTGTGGGGGGGGTGACATCTTATCCGAGACCCTAAAGAAGAGAAAGAGCCGAGAGGACCAAGTGTGGTGTGTGTGGGGGGAGCAGGGGATCCACCCCTTTCCCCAAGGTAGACAGATTGAAGATAATGTTGGCATCAGATTCTTCTCAAATCCCACATCCAACCGTCAAGCTGCTGGCATGGCCCCTTCAGCCCACCTCCATCCTGTATCTATAAAATACTTCGATACAATACAAGAGGAAGAATCTAGACTCAGCCTCCTGCTTTGTGGGGTCATGTTTGCAACTTCTCACACAGCAATTTGTCACCAGGATGCCCAGGCCACCCCTCCCTCATCCTTCCTGCGGTTCCTCTTCAGTCCATGTCAGGAACACACCACCTATCCACACTGCTTGCCCTCCTCCCCTCCAGTGCCTTTTCCCTCGCCCAGTGCACCATGTTGACCCTTGTTTATAGTCTTTTCCCCCTCTCTGTTTGAGAGCAATGATCTTGCTCTCACTGATGTGCTGAGGGAAGAGGGCAGGCAGAGAGATGGCGTGGCAGGTACGAGCACCTGTGGCATGTTTTTTTATGAACTGTCTTACTGATCATGGGAGAGAGCCTGGGAATCAGTTATTCACCCCACGACTCTGGTAAAAATGAAGGTCTGTGTCTGCGCAGCACTGGAAGGTAAACCTCGTCTTCTGATTTGAAGTCTACACATTCTACAGTTGGGAAGCGGGAGTCTCCACTGAGAAACTGCCTCCCGTGGTGCTTACTTCTTTATCAACTGTACGGATTTGGAACTACCTAGGAGACACAGCTCTGAGAGCTCCTCTAAGGTTGTTTCTGGTGGTAGTTTAACTGAGGAGGCAAGACCAACCCCAAATATGGGAGTCACCATTCCACAGCTAGATACCCAGATTGAATTAAAAAAAAAAAAAACAGTTGGACACTGGCTTTCCTCCCTCTCCCACCTCCATCCTCCATCCTCCCTGACTGTAGACACAGTGTAACCAGCTGTCAGGGCCACACGGGGTCATGCAAAGATGGGGACAGACCACTGAAGTCTAATAAACCAGAGCAAACTTTATTCCAGGAAAAAAGTGAAAAATTAAAAAAAAATCACCATGGGGCACAAAAAGCTTATCAGCTAGCTGAGACCACAGCCAGAGATGTATTTGTAAGGCTGTGGCAAAGGCCAGTTTTTGAACTCCTTTTTTAATAGCAAGTATTAGACAATAACAAAAGAATTTTACAGTCTCAAGATAAAACTTTTTTTTTTTTTTTTGGTTTTTCGAGACAGGGTTTCTCTGTAGCTTTGGAGCCTGTCCCGGAACTAGCTCTTGTAGACCAGGCTGGCCTCGAACTCCCAGAGATCCTCCTGCCTCTGCCTCCCGAGTGCTGGGATTAAAGGCGTGCGCCACCACCGCCCGCCCGAGTTTTTCAGTTAAACTAGTGTTTGTATTTAGTCCATTGTTTTCCCCTGGCGTTCCTTGATAGTATTTACCAATGCTCTGCACCTCCCCTGATACTACCAGTTTCGCATAGCAGGGAAGGGGTATGGGATAATATAAAACCAAAAAGTCAAAAGTCACGTACATCCCATCATTGAAAAATTAGCTCACATCAGTTTCTGCTCATGAGCGGCCAGGGGGTTATCTAAAAGCTGACCCTCAGTTTGTAGAGCAACCCTAAGTTTGCAGAGGGCCGCTTCAGCCTCGCATACAGAGCTATGGGTTGTAAAGCAGAGTAGCCCACTGTTAACAGATAATCCTTAAGCTGCTGAAAAAAGCTGCTGACAGTCTGCTCTCATTCTTATTTCTGGAATCTACATTTTTATATTCTTTTTCTTGGGCTTTTCACCAGCTACCACTAGCTCTGGCTCCCAGGCCTTCTCAGTCGTGATGGACCGTTCCCTCAAAATGAGAGCCCCAATACACCCTCCTTTCCTTAAGTAGCTTTTGCCAGGAACTTTGTCATAGCAAAACCAACTAACACATATCTCTCCACTCTCCCCTTTATAGGAGTGAGATAGTGGACCTTTCTAGGTTATGGCTCAGTGGACTCAGGAGTCAGTTCTTGGATGACAATGCATAACTTATGTGGCCTCTATGGCCTCCTCATTTTATAAAGGAAATGATGGAGAATCCCTAGCCCAGGCAGCTGCCAGGCAGTTTAAGGCACACCGTGTATACAGTAGGTGCTCACTTAATCTCGGCTGCCACCCCGGGATTGCAGACCCCTGCTCCAGCGGGCTGTTCTTGCCTGGTGGCCCTTACAGAGAGATCTGGCTTGGTTTTG